ACGAGAGATTGTCTAATAAAAAAAATAAAAAAACAATTGGTATATACAAACTATGGATAAAAATTCCACACAATTACATGTGCAATTTTTATCTGACACTCGAGTAAAGAGCAAATATGATAAGATAAGCCTCAGATTGGAACTGCTCAAACAAATGACACCTTTACTGCTTAAACCATAAAGATCATGTAGAAATAGCGATTACTCATAAACATTGATTAGTCTTATAATTTAATTGTTAAGACACCTCCTCTGTGGTCCAGCAGTTTCGCGTACCACCTTACTTCCGATGGTCGCAGGTTAATTCTCAATCTATACATATTTTTCACAATTCTTGTCCGTCTATCTGTCGGTCTGTTTGTTCCGGTTAATCTCTGAAATGGTTGGACCAGGCAGCAATTTTTGGCAAGTAGCTCATGTAATAAGGAGTCACTTAAGCTGCTTTTATTTTAAAAAAATAAAATAATATTTCATGCAGACGAAGTCACGGGTGCAGCTAGTCTGCAATATAATATTTGGTCGTATGTGTACACATAGTAGAGAGGAAAAGTGATCTCATTATTGTTATACTCATTTAATACCTAATGAAAGTGCGTCATTCGCTTAATAACTTGATGAATTAAACAATGTAACAATCCTAATATTATAAATGCAAAAGTTTGGAAGTATGGATGTTTGTTACTCTTTCACGCAAAAACTACAGAATCGATTATGATGAAACTTACGAGCTATATTTTTTGTGAAATTTATATGTATAATGAAATTTAACGCGAGTGAAATATCTAGTCCTCTATATTTGACAAGTTTTAAGCGATTTTTTTCTTATTTCAACTCTTTAAGCTTCGCAAACATTTTTTTTTGCTCCTGGTTTTCCCGCGATCAGTATGTTTACTGTAATCGGATAGGTTGGCAAATGGCAATGAGAGTCTGCAGTCCATTGAGTGCAAGACTTCCTATTATTGACGCCCTCTGGCATACATTCAGGAATTAAGAACTGGAGTGTTGCTTATCCAAATCCAGTAGATATTTTCTTTTCAGGCGTTTTGGGGGGTTGTGACCTCTGAGCTAGCTTCGCAAACATGTTTATTTTTTTACAATAACAAACCTTAATATTAGATTACATTTCCGCAGCCAACGTTCACTGGACTATTTTTTTTTATTTAAAAAATATATGTACATTTATACTTACACATTGACTCGGCAAACTGCAGAACACATTGTTGGTAAGATATAGCAAAGTTTTACTGCTCAGTTGTACGTTATACTTACCTACATATATACATCTATACACATAAATACACGTTTTTTACAGAAATTTATCAATAATCTATGTACAATTTACTTTTTAAATTTTATCTTAAAATGCTAATACAAAAATTAATCCTTTTAGAAATTTTCGCCGAGAGAAATTAATTGACGAAATTAGGCTCTCAGCTAGAGCCTAATTTCGTCATTAATTTCTCTCGTCAATTAATTTCTTTCTCGATGTGATGTGAATGTGTCAGAATGTGGATGGATGTAAAAGGAGGGGACGCCCTAAGAAAAGATGGATGGATTGTATGAAAGATGATATGAATAAAAGAAGAGTATGCTCAGATATGACGACCGATAGAGAGCAGTGGAAGAGAATGACATACTGTGCCGACCCCAAATAATGTGATAAAGGCAAGGCAATGATGATGAGGCTCTAGCACGGGGACTAAACTAATTAAATAAGTATGTAATTGCATTCCTTTAGTAGTTAGTTGTCATGAATTTCATGAGTTCGCTGATAAACATGCAAGTAACAAAATATATGCCCTTCAATTTTTTATCAAGTATTAAATGCATTGATTACAAGTAGATTATCAAAGAAAATTATCAATTGCATGATCCGTTTGGTATTTAATACCGTATTTGCCCCAATCACTTTATACTATAGCTGAACTATGTCTGCGTTACATTTCAACATTTCCCATTGCAGCTCCGCTCCTATTGGTCGTAGCGTGATGTTATTATTTTATACTTTCTTATTCAATATTCCAACATGCTACCCACCTACATGAAGGAGGACAACTGGCCGAAGACTGGCTGTATCAGCGCTATCATGACAAATTGCCATCGTCAGTGCCGTGACCATACAAACAATTTGAATTTATATTTTACTGGCTGACCGTTCAACATCGTCTGCATCACACTTACTCAATTTACATTATATATTTTTAAATTATAGCCTATGTGTTATTCTGATGCATAATCTATATTACTGTAGAGTTTTATCAAAATCCGTTCAGTAGTTTTTGCGTTAAAGAGTAACAAACATACATCCATAGTCACAAATTTTCGCTTTTATAATATTACTAGCTACTGGCTTCGCCCGGGTGTACATGTATTATACATATAAACCTTCCTCTTGAATCACACTATCTATTAAAAATAAACCGCTTCAAAATCCGTTGCGTAGTTTTAAAGATTTAAGCATACATAGGAACGGACAGACAGCGACAGCGACTTTATTTTATACTACATTTATTTTATATTATTTATTTATAATCTAGAATTAATTAAATAAAATAAGAAATTTTAACAACCATACCTTCTTTCCTTACAATTTTCTCTATAACTTTATTTTATAAATCAAAAGAGATATCTAAATATATATGCAGGCATTCTAAAGTAATACAATTACAGATGTACAAGATATTCATACCACTTTTACATATTAAGAGAATAAAATGGGTAAGAAATCCAATACGACAAAAATATAGCTTAACAAAACATCATCCATAATAAGTCAGACAGAGTCGTTACGCAATATTGTTTACAGTGGTTCCAAGGCTGCGACCTTTTGACCTTAAACACACCTACGTACCAGGGACTTGTTAAAACTTATAACTAATATAAATAACAAAACTTACTACTAACTGTGCCCACGATTTCACCCCTGTTAAAGTTCAATAAAATATAGCGTATACATATTGACGACCTCGGTGGTCTAGCGGTCTAGTGCACCGCTTTACGACCGATGGTCGCGGGTTCGATTCCTCGCACGGCACAAACATTTGTATTCATGAGTATGAATGTTTGTATCGGTCTGGGTATTTTCTATGTATAATATGTATATACAAAAAAAAATCTATGTATTTGTATCAGTTATCTAGTACCCATAACACAAGCTTCAGCTAGCTTAACTTGGGTCTAGATGGCGCTGTGTGAATTGTCCTGAGATTATTATTATTATTATTATTATATATTCTGATACATAAGCTATATTATAAGTTTTATCAAAATTCATACAGTAGATTGTGCGTGAAAGAGTAACAAATATTCATCCACTCACAAATTTTCGTATTTACATTATTTATTTTAACTACAAATATTAGTATCAAAGAGGATAGAACTGTTATTTCTAAGTGTAATCGATTTTTAATTAGATTTAATTCAATTCAATCACAAATAATTGGATTACAATGAAAAGACGGTGCAAAATTCGATAATTTACATCTAAACAGAACAAGATTAAGAGAAAAATTTATTGTTAAAAAATTCTTTCACTTATACAAAGTTATACTTTTATATTTTTATAGATAATTTCAACGAGAAAGATAACAACAGTGATTGCTCTCTTTCGATGTAAGTGAACGTTTCAAATATCTGAAAATCTAAATATGTTTTCTTTTAAAAACATTTCTAGATGCCTACGTGATATTTCAGTTCAATATAATCCCTAAAATTATATTCACAAACAATTTATTGCCTCCCAATTACACATCATTAAAGGCACGACCTATTGCCAATAAAAACGCGTCGGGAGGTGTTACATTATCAGTCTTAAATAGACTGTAGAAACTACAAACCAACTACTATATTCAAATTATATATACATTATAAATAAATGTACTAGTTACTTTCCAGACATTGTAATGTAGGTACTTGGGTATTCTTTGTTTACTTAATAATTAATAATTATGTTTTCTTCACTGTCTATGTTATAATTGTTTTATTATATTTCATGTTACTGTATCGTCTGTTTATAGTAAAATATAAAATGTAAAAAAAAGTTCTAACCTTAATATCTAGGCTCATTGTGTCAACACTACATTCACTCGTTGTCTATCAACTATCTATATATATATATATTATAATTGTAATGATTCTAATATAAATTAAAAAAAAAAAAAATTATTCAAATTCAAAATATCTTTATTCATGTAGGTCTATTACAGCTCTTATGATATGTCAAATCTACCGTCAGTTCGGAATGATTTCGAGATGAGAAGAACTGACAAGAAACTCAGCTCGTATTTTTTTTTAATGTTGTACATATTTACTATAATACTATTTCATTTAAATTCAAATTTGGGAGAATAGAGTGACCATCAGCATATGCTATATAAAAAAATCAAAAAATCTAATCAGTGTTCGCAACCTGAACAGACCAGTCCCCACAAGCAGCACCCGTTCACGAGTATGACGGATGAGCCAGCCATCATTGCACTCAACCATATTAGAGGGAGCACATCGACCCGGCCCACCACGCCGCCACAAGTTTGAACTTTATAGCGAGCATGACTGTTTCGAGTTACTCCACTACGTCATTTTTTACAGGATAAACTGTACCAATCACAGTTTATTCCTAAGCCACCTACTTACATATCTTACTAATATTATAAACACGAAAGTTTATGATTATGGATGTATAGATGGATGGATGGATATCTGTTAGTCTTTCACGCAAAAACTACTAAACAGATTTTTATTAGACTTGACAGCTTATACATAAGAACACGAAGGCAAATAATTTCCCGCGACTAAAACCGCGGGTACAACTAGTACACCATATAATGTTACTAAAATATATTTTATACTGTGTTTATTATTATACAGTAATTTATTATTATTAGATTTACGCTTTTTATACATTTATCCCTATTATAATAATACAAAATATACGCTAATAGTTTCCCAATTAGATAATGTTGAGGATATTACGTTTATAGAAAGGAAAAGTAGGCACTTACCGCGGATTTCTGCGATATGAGAGTCATATTCCGATTTGCTCCTAAGATATTCCTTCCTAGGCGCTGTATGTAGAGTCTGCTGCTTATATTCCGTGTACCACTCATGCTGAGGCGATTCTGCTCTCTCTTCCCTCTCAGTCACCGTCCTCTTCACTGTCACTCTCTCAAACTTAACGTACCGAACCCCAGCGGTCAGATCGCCCTCTTCGAACTGCCGCTGCACCTTCTCAACATCCTCCGGTCCTACATGTCTCAACTTCAAACTAGGTACGAAGGACTCGTAAGCCCTAACAGGAGATTCTGTGTCACGAGTTGATTTCAACTTTACGTCGATTTTCGGCGAGTCGGGACGTCGTTTCCGTTGCTGGATGCGACGTTCTATGTCGTCGACGTCGGTTGTGGCGTCGACTACGTCGCTGCTGGATTGTCCGGTCCAAACTTTTTCGAAGAAACTAACGCGGTCGCGGAGACCGCTCTGCGACGGGGAGTCGCGACCGTCAGACATTGCGACATGACCTCTCTGTGTGGAGGCTCGCTCGATACTGCAAGTGATAGGCCTCTAGAGAAGGCTCGGGTTTGGTCGCCGGACGCATGCGTTAACGCCACGTGTAGTTGTAGACGGGCCGTAGACAAACTTTATGTGCTTTGCAGATGGAAGTAGAGGATGCGAGGATCCTGTTTGGTAATCATCAGCCTTCTAAGTGTATACCTATATCAATTGCAAGGAACGTACCTTTCAATCTATACATATAAATAAAATTGGAGTGTCTGTTTGTAATATTGAAATACCCGTTTTTTACTACATGCATATGAATATAAACATGGTACGTACAACAAAATAACATTTTTTACAATATTTCGCGAATATCGATAGGTGAGTCAGTGTTTTAAAGCACTAAACCACAAGAGCGATATGGTTAGTGATTTTTTAACACTTATCTTATCTTATACATGTATATATATTCATTAATTGAATATTATAAATATTTTATTAAATGTAATGAATTTATAAAACTGCATTATGTGAGCCAGAAGAGAGATAATGGAAACTTTGTGATAATCTAGACAGTAAGTTATTTATAATAAGATTAAATGCACTATCAGTGAAGGAATTTTATTACAACAACTAGCTGTTCCCGCGACTTCTTCCACGTGGAATATATATTTTTCTAAAATAAAAGTAATAAAACTAATCCATTTACATCATCCCTTATTTTATCCCCATGGGGGTTGAATTCATCAAAATCTTATTTAAGCGAACGTCTTCATCATAATATATATAATCTTTAATTTCAGTTCAATCAGTCTAAAATCTAAGAAGATTTATACAAACTTTCATTTTATCCCCTGGAATTTATCAAAATCCTTTCTTTATTCATAGTAGCTGTATGCATGCAAAGTCTCAGCCCGATCGGTTTAAAATTGACAAAGTTCATACAAACTATCATCCCCTATTTTATCGCCTTGGGGGTAGAACCAATCAAAATCCTTTCTTAGCGGATGCCTACATCGTAACATCTACTTGCATGCCAAATTACAGCCCGATCCGTCCAGTGGTTTGGGCTGTGCGTTAATAGATCACTATGTCAGTCACCTTTGAGTTATATATATTTAGATAATAATACCAATAATCATTCACCTTTACGACTGTCTTACCAAATGGGGTTGCTAGAGACGTTATCAGCAATAGAAGTCATATTCCGTACACTTGACATGCCCACAATACTGCAATAATTAGTTTAATCTCCCTCTTTCCTTCTTCCGATTTGTTATGGTTTGTTATTAGTGTTTCCATCACCGGTGAGTGAGTCAAAAATATCAATTGACATGCTCTGTTTTTGGCGGCAAGAATTGAACTCATGACTTTTAGTGTCTAAGTCAGATGCATACCAGGAATGGGTGCTGCTTGTAGGAATTGGTCTGATCTGATCACTATGACTGATTTATTTGGTTACTCAAGTAATTATTCAATTATTACGTCAATTTTGCTATTTGTTAGTTTGTATTCACACAAATTTTTTAAAAATGTAATTCTGTACAACGTTTAATTAAAAGAGCAAAACACAAGGTTCTCGCTACATCTTGTGATGAGTCTGCGTTCTGAATGAATAGTAAAATAAAAGAAATATGACTATTCAAAAGTGTTTATATTAAGTTAACATATAAAACAAATTTCTATATCTATGACGAAATAGTAATAATAATAATCTCAGGAGAATTCACACAGCGCCATCTAGACCAAAGTTAAGCTAAAGCTTGTTATCGTAACTAGACAACTGATACAATTACATAAATTTCTTTTTATAAATACATACATAATATACGTAGAAAACACCCAGAGTGACACCAACAATAATACTCATGAATACAAAGGTTTGCGCCGCGCGAGGAATCGAAGCCGCGTACATCGGAAGTAAAGCGGTGTGTTAAATCGCTAGACCACCGACGCCATCTTTATTAATATATTAATATAATAATTACATTTATATATTTTGTATACTTGGAATTGTAACCGTTGCCCTATGATGTTGATATTAATAAAATTTTACAAAATAAGAAATTGTTATAAATTTGCACATATTGTTACCTTATGTTACATCAACTTTTGTATTACCGGTTTAAGAATAATATATGTAGAAGCCGTTATGCAAATTAGTTACTTCTATACATGTTGTTTGCAAGTTATTGAGGACTAGCTGTACACGAGACTTCGTCCCGCGTGGAATTTCACTTTGTTTTTCTAAAATAAAAGTGGACTAAATTACTCCTTACTACATCAGCTATCTGCCAAAAAAAGTCCCGTCAAAATCGGTCCAGCCATTTCAGAGATTAGCCAGAACAAACAGACAGACAGACAAAAATTGTAAAATATGTTATTTTGGTATATGTACCGTATTATATTCATATGCACGTAGTTAAAAACGGTTATTTCAATATTACAAACAGACACACCTATTTAATTTATATGTATAGATATCCAATAAACAGAAAAGAAATACCTAAAAAGAATGCTAATTTATTTTAAATATATTTTTAGGTTTTAGCTTAACATCAATCTGCAGTGAATCCATGGAATGCTAACAAATTCATCTCATTCTCACAGAAAAGGCCTAACGGGCTACTCGACCACATACTCCAATAAACTATTGCTACTAAGTAAAAACAATATGACTAGGGCCCTCACTGGACACTACAAATTGAACAAACATATGGCAAATCTAGGCCTGTGCGCAACAAAAATCTGCAGATTGTGCCGTGCAAAAGAGGAAACGCCACTACGCATCCTATATGGTTGTAGCCCACTCATGTATAAACGAAATATCTCCTTTTGAAAGTATAAACTCTATCCTGAGACGATAAAAACCATCGCTCCTAAGAATATCCTTCAATTCTTGTCCCACACGGGTCTAGGTGGCGAAATTGAATAAGGGCGAGCACAATAGATCTATATAGGTCGCAGTGTTATACATGTCTTAGCACCTGACAATAGCCCAAACATTCCCAATAAAAAAAATTGCTATATCTTGACTTAGACTAAATTAGTGAAACTATGCTGCCCAAGCAGTTCTTTGCAGAAAATTTCATTTATTCATCAAAGAACTCGAAAATTATGACTCTAAATTTTAGCGACGATAAATCATTCAATATATATTATTTATACAAATAATAAAATTAACATAATCAAATATTATAATATAAATTATTTCGTTTTATATACCCGTTTAAGTATAGTAATTTTTAACCTAACTATGTAATGCTGAACAACATTTAAAAGAGCAACACATAAGTTTCTTGCACTTTCTTCTTGCGAGTCTGCGTTCGGAATGAATACTAGAGTAAAAAAATATGGCTATTGAAAAGTTATTATATAAAGTTTATTTAAATAAGGATTATTTCTATTCTATTCTACATTTTGACTTAACACACGTTGCAGTTTTGTTTTCCATTCGTTCGTTCGTTCTTCTTGTGACGAGTCCGCTTTTAGAAGAGCGGTAGATTATAAAATATTTGACTATTAAAAAGTGCTATTATTATTTCTTTAATACAGATTATTTCTCTGTCTATTTCAGATTACAAAACGAATAAAAAACTCGTCCACCTCTCTTCTTTTCGGCTTGATGTGCCCAACAAGGTACATTATTGATCTGCTGAATATAAACCTAATAACTACCTACTATAACAATATGGAATGCAATGCATACATAAATAAAACATATAGTTATAAACTTTTAATGTTCATTCAAACGTTATTCAATATTTTCACTTTGATCAAAATCAACTGCACCTATCTTGCATCTCTTTCTAACCTATTGTTGTCTAATCATCTGTCTCGCCTCCAAAAGGGCCATAGCCCTATGCCCTTGACTGCGTCCTCAATAACTACTGCGCAACAGACGGTGACCTATTTCGCGCCCTTCCTAATTCTGTAAATTGATACAAATTTACGAATAGTGCTGCTGTTTAGTAATATTCTCGAGAGTACAGCATGGGGTTTTTCAAGAATATATTAAAGTTTCTTAAGGGTCGACCCTTATTATATACGACCTGTACCGTCGTGAGATGTGGCAGTGAAATTACAGGATGCTAAGCCAAACGTAGTTGCAATATATGTAGTACTAGATTTGCCCGCTTAGGGAAGGAATTTATCAAAATCCTTTCTTAGGTGATACCTACGTCATAGTAGCTTTATGTAGGGAAAGTCACAGTCCGATCGTGAAATTTTTACAAAATGTTTAAAGAAATATTCTCTACCAATCAACCTTTCGGATGAAATTCTTAAACCCATAAAAGAAGATATATATAATATATACAATAGTAATAAATACAAATATTTTATAGTACATAAGTAATATAATACACAAATAAATATGAATTATCTAATATATAAATAGCAAATCTATCTCAAAATCTTATGCACTCTTCCCAATCAGTTTCTATTTTGCCTTTTCTATCCAAAGTTCTTGAAATGATGGTTCATAAAAAACTTTATGACAAAGCTTCGCTCGCGTTAATTTATCTCTTAGGGGTGGTATTTATCAAAACTTTCAACGTCTATTTTATCCAAAGTCTTAGCCCAATCGGTTTAAAATTGAAGTTTCATAATCAAAATCCTTAATTAAATTCTTAGCGGATGCCTACGTCATAACATCTACCTGCATGACAAATTTCAGCCCGATCCGTCCAATCCGTCTTATTCTCCATGTTCACATCATAAAATTTAATTATTTAAACACAAAATATACGAATATTTAAAATTTAAATATCTATTTGTAATTTCAAATTAATATCTTTTCACTGAATGCATATGAAACTGTATAGTACTTATAATAATAAATATTAAAAAAAATTCTTTTCTCTGTCTGTTTGTTCTTGCTAATCGAAACTATATATACACTTACAATAAAAAGTATATAAAAAATTTCGTCTGTCTGTCTTTTTGTTCTTGCTAATCTTTCAAACGACTAGACCGATTTTAACAGAACTTTCACTCGCAGATAACTTATAATACTCGCTATAAGGAG